CAAATAAACTGTTCACTTACGTAAAATAGTGTCAGTCTTTAAAATTTTTTCTTCTCTAGCAATACCACTTGATCATCTATATAACGCTACATTAGCAATGCCACTAAATGTTCAGGTACATAACATTAAAATTTTGTATTTAATGAAATGATGATATCAATCAATGAAAAGGAAGAAGGGTAGAATGAATTAAGCAAGGAAGAATCTTCTATGTTTTAGTCTCTCTCTTGTTCATCAAAAATTTTCCATTAAAAGGAAGATATTTCACATTGTGGTTAAATCTTTGAGCATCTTTTTATCTGATTGCCATCATCTGAGTCAGAAACCTGACATATTAAACTGTATGTGTAGTACAAGAGAAATATCTAGATTAGTTTATTTCTCATGCTATTAGTTAGCCTTGTTGAAATTTTAAATGAATAACAAATTATGCAAGAAAATAAAAATCCATCACTTATACTTGTTTAACTAATCTATAAAAAGAAAGGTGTTCAACCTATGTAATACTTATCTGCATTATAGATATACTCGTTAGGTGGCTTGAGAATTGACAGTGGGAAGAATAGACAATAAAAATCAGATTTTATCAATAAATGTATTTTGTTTTTTAAATGCATTATGAATGCAATTCATTTGAAATAGTTTCCAACTCTATGGAGGAGTAATGTGCTAGAGTATTAGAACAGGTTTTATTATTTGCCTCTCAGGTAAGAGGCATATACAGATTTGAGTTAAAAGCTTCCTAAGAACAGATAAATACTTTATTGTATGCTGATTATATTTGAGAAACAGAGAAGAACACACCAACATGTGGAGTAATCATAACAGTCACACATTTCTGTATCTACCAACCTGCTAAACACTGAACAGTATATAATGCCACCTGACGTTTAACCCTTAATTGTTCTTGATAATCAGTCAGGTCTCCTGCTAATTCTTCAGGACAGTACTCCAGCATGAGTGTGACAGAAGTGTAGTTTATCCACTGTTTCATGAAAGCTGCATTCCAAATTAACATCTTAGCTCAATTAGCTTGCAACTTATTGAGATGGCAATTAAAATCTATTACCAGTTATAGGCACCTTTTCCTCTACGAAGTATTAGTAAATAAAAAAAATACTAAAATGAATGAAGGCTGATATCAGAACATCCTGAAAATATAATATCAAAGTTACAGGTTTACAGTTGCCGTTAGGTGATAATGTGAACAGGTAACTTTCCTTTGATTCACACCTAGACATTACCTGCTAACTTGAATGTACTTATCACATGAGCACAATGGTTTTACAAAAGTTTATAATTAAACTGAATACATCTGTGTAGGTAATAAATATTTTATTACTATGCTCAAACTTCAGGTAATTAAAGTACTGCTAATATCAGAGATATTCTTATAGACTGCTAATAGTAATTTTTCATGGTTATTTAACAAATAAGTTTTTCACAATACCTGATATTTCTTCTTCGGAAAAACACATAAAAGTCTCCTAATGTGAAAAATTATTTCTTTAATCAATATGACCACAAATAAATTTGATGGATATATAAGGTAAATAAGTTAAAATTTCATTACAGAAGGTTTTACTCTTGTAGTGTTATCTTCAATGTGTAGAAAATAGGCAGTCAGTTGTCTGCACCCGTTTTGAAAGAAGTAATCAAATAGGTAATACTATAAATTTAATTTGCTTTATCCCACTAGGTTCAATCCTAAATTTTTTTCTATTTATTATCAAACTGTCTTCTTAAGCAATCATCTTATATTTGCTTTTTACTGAAGACTCTAACATAAAGCAATTAGAAAGTGTAACAAGTAGCTTAGTCATAAAACTATTACATTATCAAACAGAATAAATGTAAAGGAAAGAAATATAATACAATATTATTGATAGTAGCAAAAATTGCTTTTTTCATTCATCAGAAACAAGCTAATATTGATATTCAAGGCAAACTTTATTTTTTTTCATTCTATGAATATGAAAATAATAGATGGTATTCCTAAAGGAAAAATTTTAGGTCACAATTTTTAAATTTATTTTTATATAAATATGTAATTTCATTGTCTTTAAAAAAAAAATTTAGGAGAGTTCATGCGTTCATTCTAAAGACGCTATTACTAACATTTAGACCAGGTTGCCAGTTATGTCTCCTCTAAATAGCATGACCTAAAAGACTTTGCTTACAAACAATTCCTTAGAAGATACTTTGCCTATTCACCTCCCACCTGAGAACTGTGTTTTTCATTAGTCATAATCAACTATGACAAGGATGCTTGAAAATAAAAATAACATATTTCAACTTCTTTATGTTTTAGAATCACTGTTTAATTTGCTCTACCTCCTGAACATTTTTAACAGACAGTGAAACTGTTACTACTTTTGAATTATTTAACAATTGCCTATTAGTCTGACAGTATTGACCATATTCATTTTCAGGGCTGATAATACACAATACATAAAAAATTTAAATACAAATTTTAATCCTATTTAAGTTTCGAATATTCCTTAAAGTTTCAACTAGTCTACAGGTTGCAAAGAATAACAGAAGATAGGCAAGAATCTACCAATGAAATCAGAAAAAAATCACATAAAATTTCCAAAATATATGAACCCCAAGCAACTTGTTTATATCCTCTAGAGCAAGGTTCTCTGTTTCATAATGAAATTTAGAAGGCTTTTTTTTCAGATTTCTGACTAAGTTTGAATGAACAATTCATCTATAGCAGGTGAGTAAACAATAAAATTTAACACTCAATAGAAATAACCTACTTATTCAATGAAAATTGCCAATATTTGAAAAGGCAAAAATAGCTGACTACATATGATAGTGTAGTTATTGCATATATACCTCCTTTGGAGAATATAAATATTCAATATTGAGTCTGCAAGATATATTCTATGTGGGTGACTACAGATACACTTACTCATACAAATTCAATGTAAACAAATGATTACATTTGTAATGACTGAGATTTTTGTATTTATTACTAAATATAACCACAGGAAAAAATAAAAAATGCCAAAATTTTTATATTGTATGACATTTTTCAAAAATATTTTAGCTACTATTATTTCCAAATATACTGTCTATACTAACAACCCTATTGATTACCACTTGCTTATTTAATTAGCCAGTTAGAAAAGCATGCCTCTGGGTAACAAAAAAAATGAAATTCTCACCAGGAAGAAAAAATTGTTAAGAGATTTACGCATTAGAATAGGAAAGGGAAAAGTTTAGTTTAAAAAAGAGATAATTGAAAAAATACAAATAAAGTTCACAGCAGGAAAGCTTGCCTATATAGAGAAATAGGCTACAGCCTGTTAATATGTAACTACCTTTTTATAAGAACAGTCTGTTAACACATTTACAAATCAGACTCAGAGTTTTATTTTCAAAAAGTATAGAGTTGAAGAATATCGTTTAAGTACTACTCTGCACACATGCTAGAAAACTTAAGGTGATATATTAACAAACTGCTATATTAAGCAATAGCATGTTCCAATATTAACTTCAATATCTACATATGAAATAGGCTATATTTGCAAACAAAAGCTATTTTAAAGAGTTAATATATAGAACTTTGAAAATATGAATTCAAAACTATTAAGCAAGTTCAACTGAAATTATTCACTGAAATTATCTAGAGAGGATTCACCCCAATTTAAAAAAAAAAAAAGATGAAGAAATGAAAAAAAAGAAGACAGTATTAAAGTATATATGTTGGCTATTTTACTTTCTTCCTCGATCTGATATTGGCTTCTCTAATATTTGGCCACATTCAAGCATTATTTTTTTCTCAATATTCTTCTCTCCCATTGCTTTACTTCTAGAATGTTTTAATCTTTGTCCTTTCTTTTTTCGTCTTTTCATATCAAATTCAGTTGTTTGAGCGATGAACAGCTTGACTTAGCATATTTTTAACCAGCTGGTCTAGCACCTAGCTTGCATTGCATAGTCAGATACAACAAATGTTTATACAGAAGGTAGCTTTCATGAAAATGAAAAAAAGCCTGGGTATCATGCATCCTGGCTTTTTTTAGCTTTTTTTTTTTTTAAATTCACCACACAGAATACAAAGTTTGAATTCTTTTTAATGGCAAACAAAACTCTATTTATAGTTCTCCAAAAAATGAACTTATGCTGGGATAAGAACTCAAATTTAAAAATTGCAATGTGTACTTATAGGAACACTAAGAGGGCTAAAATTCTTTCAAAGCCCTGCTTTACTTGCAGCAACATCAAATGGAAGGATATTTCATATAGTTCTCCAATGAGGAACTACTTAATTACAAATATGCTTATTCCCATCATAGCAAAAGGAAAAAATTATAGTAAATCAAAATTTAGTTTAATACAGCTAGTGCAAAACGTGGCTACTAAAACTTAGAAAGGGATGGCCCCCATTTCCCTTTTTTGACATTTCAAAAGTAATCTACTAATAGATTGCTGTAATGTTAAATATTCTTTTTAAAAAAAAAAAAAAAACCTGCTCTCTTGAATCAACAAAAGGTCATGTGCTTTACTGAGTAGCTTCCAAAGTTTTACGAAAGGATCAAATAGGAACTTATAGCCTCTGTTTTAACCACAACTAAAACCTTCTGTCACCCCAGAAATTACCAGACAGAGATGTTAAAAATGGTTAACACTCAGCACAAAAGCATTTAAAAAGGTGTGAAAGGGAAGAAAAATATCAATGAAGGAAGAAAGTAGGAGAGTGAATGAGCAAGAGAAAAGCAGTGAGTGGGGGAGAGAGAGATGCTTAATGTTCATTTAATTTCCTGTTATAAGACGCAGCTTAAAAACATTAGCAGAAATCTCGGAGACTTTACAAATCAGTTCAATTTGGTCCGGGCAATCACCGCAAAAATCAGCTAACAAGATTGCAGAAACACTAGCTAAAAGCTTTTCTAACAAACAGGGGAGCATCTTCCAATTGATTCAGAGACTACTGTAAAATCGGAGAGTTGTACTTCAATATATCAGGGGGGAAAAACTGTACTCAC